ATGATAATAATAATAACAATAATGATGATAATATCAATAGTAATAATGATGATAATGATAATGATAATTATTGTGATAATAGTGATAATAATGATAATGATAATAATAATAATAATAATAATAATAATAATAATAATAATATAATAATAATAATATAATAACAATAATAATAATAATAATAATATAATAATAATAATAATAATATGATATAATATAATAATAATAATGAAAATAATAATAATATTAATAATACTACTACTAATAATAATAGAAGTAATAATGATTATTATTATTATCATTATTATTATAATAATAATGATAATAATAATAATGATAATAGTAATAACAATAATAACAATGATAATAATAATAATATTATTGATAAAAATAATGATAATAATAACAATGAGAATAATAATATCAATAACAGCAATAGTAATACCAATAATGATAATAATGATAATAATAATAATAATGATAATATTAATAATAATAATGATAATAATGACAATAATAAGTATGATAATAATAATAATGATTATAATGATAGTAATGATGTATGGTAATGATAACAGTAATGATAAGAATGATAATGATGATAACAGTAATCATCACCACTACCTTCATTATAAACATTTTCATCATCATCATAAAGCGTAATCGGATACAGATAAACAGGAGAGTATGATAATCCAGAAAATGAAGACTGGTAAAGCACGCGTATTACAAATTACGGAAAATGGTAAAGCACATATTACAAATTATGGAAAAGCACCAGCAGTCGCTGATCCATATCCATCAACCTTGGAGATCGTTATTACACAGAGGATCCCTGAGTGGGAGCATCAGCTGATCTTGACAGCTGATTCGCGTTGTTGAGACGTTTGTTCAAAATAAAAAGATAAAAGTGTTTAAAAAATAAATCAATATGCTTGATAACGACAGAGGAGAGTTAGCTTTGCTGGTAAGTTAGAGGTTGAGAATGTGTAGTGAAAATATATGTGACTGAAATATCATTTCGCTTTGTATTAGCAGTCTTCCATAAGTGTGTAGTACATATTAAAGTAGTATTGTTTCTTATATAAGTATCAGAGGTGTATTTAAGTGAATTACATTAGAGTGATTATTAATTTTTAAGCTATCATTGTGATAGGAATTGAAAGAGTAGAAAATATTAGGTTTCAAGACTTGTACCATGATATAAATGTATTGATTTAGTTTTGGCGAATGTTGATTTCCAAAATTTTGTATAATAAGGTACTCAAGCTATAAATTAACCACATCTAACTAGTATAATTTGAAGAAGACACAGCCTCATCTGCACTCTTAATAGCTTTTATTAATTTGTATTGGTATAGACTGATTTGGTAATGCCTAGCAACCGCCTCCAGCAACAAGCACTTGGTGAAAACAAACCCTTGTTCGTCCGAAATATTACTGTGCTTTGCTTACAAAGTCACTCAATTTTTCGGAGAATTTTGTTTCTCTTGAGGTCAAATTATTGAGGAGAGAGAAAAATGCGTTATGCAATTTTAGGCCTATACATGACTTCTTTGTCTCCTTTGTATAAACTCCTAGTAAATGGGAAGAAAAGTGGTTAGGAAATGTCACTGATTTCACAGAAAAATACCCTATATAGCTAAACATCATACATTACTGTAGTAAATTTTGTTATTATATAATTGTTATTATCATTTGCTTTTTTGATAGAATAGTTGTAGATGTCAGAATATTCAATTTTAGGTCATTTCGAAGGATCGTCAATCCAGATTTCGGTGTGAGTACTCTTTTAGCTACACAGCTTCTACTTTTGCTTCATATCACCTTTTGTTTTGGTTTTTGAAGAATCAAAGAATTCATACGTCATTTTCCTTCACGTTGATAGCGAGGTATCTGCGAGCGACGAGTTTGTTTTCACCAAGTGGAATGGCAACTCCAATTCTTGACATCACACCGAATCGGTCTATTTGTATCAACACTTCTTGAAATGAGGACTGTGCAGGAAAAGACTAGTGTAATGCCTTTAAATAATACATAAAAATCCTATTAACTATAGCAAATAGCAATATAAAAAAAATGAAAGCATGGCCACAGTTGCTTATCAAATCACACCTAAAGTGATGCAAGCATTCTTTATGGCCTCTGTGGCTTTTGCAATCAGTCAAAGAGAACAAGCCTCTACCATGTACATTTTGAAAGGAAAAAACTTGCAGACTACCTAGGTGATTTTTTTTATCAAAAAGGAAACAGTTCAAGCTTATTTTTGCCAAACATATAAGGTGGATATTTGGTGGTCTTTGTCAAAGCGTTAAAGGCCCGGTCTCGGGTGAATGCAGTCTTAGGTTCGAGAATTACCTTTGTTCCCATCTTAAATTCTGATTAAACTTTACTGCAAATTTATGATAATACTCTTGGAGAGGAAAAAAAGTTGCAATTGATGATACAACAAATAATCTGGAGACGTGGATAGTAATGCCACAAATAAAGAAAAATATCACAGAAAGCTCCATACACTTTATGCTCCTAAGCTTCAAGCCCATCTTGCCGTGCATACCGAAGTGAAGACAAAGTTTCCTAGAGGTGTTGGGGTAGAGCTTCCCATCAACCCTTTCCTTGGGCAGTGTCCAAAGACATGCTTAGTCAGAGCAACAGATTTTTTTAAATAAATTTTCTGATGTGGCCTTGGCGACTTAGTCTCTGGCAATTGTGTCTATACTGTAAAGAAATACCTAAATTGTATATAGATAAATCATTTGATAGTAGAATATAGCTTCCTTGATATTTCTATTTTCAAACCATGCCATGCTCCACAAAATAACTACACAAAAGGAACAGCAACATACATATCTCATTGGAGATCTTATAAACTCTCTATGGATTTATATTTGGTATGATTCAGCTTGCCAGGCTCCCTGGCAGTTTATCTTTAAATAAAGACTTTTCCTGAATTTACATGCGGCAAGTTTGTTGGGCTTTGCCAAATTGCGGAGGCCATGGTATGACTTCGTATGGACCTATTATGAAGAATTACTAAATGAATGATACCAAATGATACCAAGGTTATATGTGTTTGATATTATATCCATTGTCTTAAATTACATCACTTTTTTCTGTGGGAATCAGTGCATGAGAAATAGGTTTTCCCCTTTTGAGTAAAATGGGCAAACATATATATATATATATATATATATATATATATGTCTATGTCTGTCTATGTCTGTCTATGTCTGTCTGTCTATGTCTGTCTGTCTATGTCTATATCTATATCTATATCTATATCTATGACTATGACTATGACTATGACTATGTCTATGTCTATGTCTATGTCTATGTATATCTATATCTATATCTATATCTATCTATCTATATATATATATATATATATATATATATATATATATATATATATATATGTATGTATGTATGTATGTATGTATATATATGTATGTATGCATGTATGTTTGTATGTATGTCTATATATGCAGATTTTTTAAGGCAATTGTGACCATTCAATTTTCCTTTCTTTAGATTGTGTTCTATATCTAACAAAGGTGTTTCAAGTGTATTTTGTGGCCTTTACTTCATTTTTTCTAATTTTGAATCTTTATAAATGAACAGGTGAAATAAGGTAGGTAATTATCAAGAAGATCATGCTGAGTCAAAGAGAAAAATATGGCATTTTTGGCAATTACAACAGCAAACATTACAAGTTAATGATATATGATCTGGCACGATATACCATGGATTGAATGACAGTGAGTCATCAGAGATTTAAAAAATCTTTTATATTTATTTTATGAAAGTATGTCATAGAAGAAATGTCAGAATTCATAGATCTGTTTCTTCCAGACACTTTACTTTTTGCTATAAATAGTCTACTATATATCAAATAATTCTTCAGTTGCTGCTTTTTCTCTTTTTGGTTCTCATTTTCTATTAGATAGATACCTTTACAGATGGTGATTGGTTGTATATATCATATACATTATTCATAAATGTGTTTGCTTATTTTTATCAGCTTATAGCTATGCCAAGTGGAAATCATATGCAAAGTAATTTTGAAGATGAAGTCAGTCATTAGCTTCATATCGTTTAATGGAAGTATATGTATATTTACCTGTCATGGTTTGCAAGTATATGAACTTTATTAACCATATTAGTATATCAAGATAGATTATTATAGTTGCATACAGAGCTGTAGCAAGATATAGAGTGAAGTGGATGCTGGTAAAATGCCAGAAGTGGTAATTAAATTCTAACATTTTTGTATTTTTATTGATTCGGCATCTGGTGGTAAGTTGTACTATATGTATATATATCCAATATATATGAATATATATAAACTATGAATTGCCTAAATGAGGCATCATCATTTGAACTCAGTATTGAAGACATTTAAAACTTAGTTGTCTGTGTGGGGCCTCACAAAGGACACATATCAGTGACAGTATACAAATATTAAATTAACCTATCAGTAACAGTAGCAAATATGTAAATAGTATTTAGTACAACATTTGGTTTATTTGTACCTTTTCTTTGTTTACTCACATCCTCACATGCCTTTTTTATTGTGAAATATTCCTTCTTCAGAAATACATTTTGCAGATCAGTGATTTGATGGTCATGGAATAATGAAAAGAAATTATAAATTCAACCATTTGCCTCTGCCTTCTTAGTGCTAATCCATTGCCTGTTTTTTCATGTAATGCTGCTCTTGAATAAGCAAAGTTCTGTATGCCATATAAGATCTATAACTCCTTGTAAACTGAAAAGCATCTGTTATCATCTTCTGTGAAGCTACATACCAAAAACAAGTGATATTTTACATAGGCTTGGTATGAAGTCAGTTGTAATAAAAAAAAAAATTCCATGTTATAGCAGCACATACTGAATATGCATTTTAGTATGAAGCCATTAGAAGAGGAGGAGGTACTTTGGTATAATGGTAATGCACACAACTGTGGACAAGCATATCTGTAAGCAAGTGGGTTCAAACCCTGCTATTGTCTTCTGGAAATAATGGTCTGTACCTGCTACTTAAAAAGTCCATTAAAAGAAGCTACTGCCCAAGGCCTGTGCAGGCAGGGAAATGGATAACATAATACTAGTTGTCTTATGAAGACATTAGAGAGATGTACCCCTATATATTGTATATATATTTTTTGTATGATGTTAAATTCACTTTTCCCCATTTACAGCAGCAAGAATTTGACTGGGTGCTCAGTGAAGAAGTTCCAAGGGTTTTTACACAGGTGATGCAAGTTCTTAAGGTAAGAACAGAACTTTTGTATTCAGTTTTCACCCTCTAAGACTTAAAATGGACTATTAAACCTGCCACATATTTTAAATTTCAAGAAAAATCCTGTGGGAAGTACCAATCCCCACCTCAGTCCAGCTCAGATATGAGCTTAAAACTAGTGGTTTAGAGCCACACACGTTCACAAACTCTTGAGAAATTGTTGAATGGACATTTTTCTCAACAGAGTGAAGTATTAATGCATATCAGACATAATACTACATTGCATATGTGATAAGGTTGAAATAGACAGACTTTTTTGTCATTTCTTAATTTTATAATTCTCCTTTTGGATTGGTTTATTCTTTACATTTTCTTTCTGTATGTGGATTTGTAATGAAAATGAAATTATTTTGTGTGTGTGTGGTCTATATATATTTCTGTTATTGTTTTACTGCTTTCAATTATCTGATTTAAGTATAAAGACTCAAGAATCTGTAAAAGGAAATGAAAAGAAAAGAAAAGATAAAGCAAACATTTGTCTTACAGATTGATGGTCCATATTATTACACATTATAATATAAGAACCATGTTTCATTTTTTGCACTCATTGAGCTCATAGAGAAAACTTGTCACATACGAGTGGGCTTCAGAAAGTTTGTGGAAAAAGGATAGTAAGAAGAAACGATTTCAGTTATGAGGTTTATTTTTCAACATATGCTCCATTAAGGTCGATACACTTCTGCAAACGTTGATACCAGCCTTTAAGCCTATCTGAGTAGAACTGAGGGTCTTGTGATCTGAACCATGACAGAGCAGCTCTTATTTCATCTTCAACTGACAGAAAATTGGTATCTTTCAATGATTTTTTCAATTTTGGAAACAAAAAGAAGTTGGATGGGGCTAAATCAGGGCTGTAAGGGGGATGTCATATGATTTCCCATCAAAATTCACGTAGCACAGGTAGTGTTTGCCGAGCACTGTGAGCGGGTGCATTGTTGTGGTGGACGAGTACGTGTTGATGCAGTTTTCCAGGGCGTTTTCCCGAGATTTTTTTTGGACAGTTTTCTCAAAACGCCTTCATAATAAGCAAATGTAGTTATCATCTTGTTCTCGAGAAGTCAACTAGCAAAATCCCCTTTGCATCCCAGAAGACAGTGGCCATGGCCTCTTCTCTTGAACACTCAGATTTTGCTTTGACTGGTTCACTTCTACACCGGGACAGCCACTGCTACAAATAAACAGGTGAAGTAATTGAATTTTGTCTTCGGGATCGTACAGATAGAGCCATGTTCCATCCCCTGTCACAGTTCACAAGTCCCCATCCCACTTACTCAAAATTTCCATTGAAAGATCTGCCCTCGTTTGCTGCTGATCTGGGCGCAACAGCCTAGGGACCCATCTAGCGGAAAACTTGCTTAGTCCCAAACTCTCTACAAGAATTATGTGTGCAGAACCCACGGAGATCTTGAGAGTATCTGCTACCGATTCAGTAGTTATTTTGTCTATGCCTTTCAGTCAAGTCATGAACAGTATCAATGTTTTCCTCACAACTGACATTGTTGGCCTGCCACTGCAGGGCTCATCATCAACTTTGGTTTTTCCACTTCTGAAGCGACTTATCCATTTGTAGGTTGTTGACTTTTTTGGGGCATTATCACCATAAACTTGTTTGAGAGTGTCAGTGAATTCCCAATTCTCCCAACCAATTTTCATCATGAACTCTATGCTTGTTCTCATCTCAGTTTTGGTGTATTCTGTGTTGCTTGAATGGTGCCTGACTTTCAACTGGTGGCAATGGATTCTTACCTGTATTTAACTGTTCATGTTTGAATATGTTATAACACGTTGGTACAAGAATGTTCATGTGCATGGAAATGAAAATCCTTCCAAACAATTTTTACTTTTGGACTTTTTGAAGTCCCTTCGTACTTTCAATCTAAAAGAGAAGAAAAAACAGTACAAGAGTTAAGATGTTATGTTAAATACAGTGTTAGGGCAAACCTATACATTGACCTGTGTATTTCTTTCAGGAATGCTGTACTCACTTCCCTGTCCCACTATGTGGTAATGAGACAGCTGTCAAACAAGAGAAGTTTATTATGTCTACAGCTGCACACAGCACACAGGACCAGGTCAAGTGTGTAGTCACTGTGACTGGAGACACCATTAGCCAGGCAGTAAGTAAAGCATAAAAGGGATGTAGATATATATGAGACAACAGTCAACTATGCCAAAAAGTTCCATAAGTGCAAGTTGACCTTAATGTTTGGAAGATGTGTGAAGGTGTTTTACAAGTTAATACAAAAATATAACAGCAGATTTTATGTCATTCAAATTAAAAGTGTATCCCAGTTAGAGTTGTGATGATATTCATTGTACTTCAGGACATCAACATGAAGGTGGCCAAACACCAAAACCAGGTGCACCGTACCAGTGTAACACCCGATGCCCCATGGCGTATACAACAGATTCAAGATGCAGGGAACTTTCTGCAGCTTGCAATACAGTTCTTGCAAGGACATGGAGCTAATAACACTTTTAAGTAAGAAGGAAGTATATTTTTTAATGTTATTGAGATTAAGCCATCAGTGATTAAGACATGAGGTATCAAATTAATGACTTACTGTTAATATGTTCTTAGCTATTTCATAATTGATAAACTTTTATATCATTTCTGTATCTATATACAAGAAAAAAATGCAGATTGAGTACTTTTTATATGCTCCTCTTAGGAAGTAATCCACTGCATATAGTTTTCAATTCCTTTGAGAAATATAATTTATGGCAGTTTATGAGCATTAGTCTTGTTAAATTAATTGATAAGCTGGAAGTCCTATGCAGATTAATATATTCCGTCATTTTATGATTAAACTGCCCTTGAAAGGAATATAGAATACTTAGATGGCTAAATAAGCATGTCTCCTTTACTTGTCTTACTTTGAATTTGCAAAGAACAAGCAGTGAGGTTTTGAATGTGCTGGGTCAACTAATCAAGATGCTACAAACTGGTCGCAGCAGCCTTCTCATTCCTCGGAAAAAGACAATTGATGAACTTCTAAGTAGCAGAAACATGGTAAGTACTGGACCAGCTGATGAGCATACATGTGCCAGAATACTGTTATCATTTTCAGAACTTTATTAAATATGTGCATTAATTTCATTTGACAGAAATCCCTGACACCTCCTTTGCCAGGGGATTTGGCAGTAAGCTTTTACATTCAAGCTCACAAACTAGTACTTGCTGTGTATCACCTCTCAAATGCTGCTGGAACCATGAAGTTTGAGAGTGTCCAGGCTGAATGTGCTGTACCTTGGCTTAGTCCTGTGCTTGTATGTTTTACAACAGCTTTACATTTAGCTCACCAGTTGAGAGATAAGGTATGAAATAGTTGAATTTATGGTCTGATTAGTCTTTAAAGATCACAATATTTTTTGCAGAATGTGTCTGTTTCTGCCTAGATATTGCTGCTTATATCAGGTCTGTTCTTAATGATGTTATATTTATTAGTGATTTATCTTTAACTAATACATTTTTTTTTTTTTTTTTACAGATATCTGTTTTCTCACAGTTTAAAGATTTCACTCCAGATTCCTGTAGTGTATCAACAATATCTTGCTGAAACAAAGCAAAATAGTTATAAGATCTGCTGAATTTGTTGGAAAGAGAAGCAAATTACTCTGTTAGGTATTAAGAAGAAACATGGCTTCTTCTCCAGCCTCTCATCATCTCCTGCATCTTCTTCCTCTTTCTTTTGCTTCCTCTCCGTTTTCTCTTTGTCTGTGCTCCTCCTTTTTACTCTACAACTATAATGTTGCAATGGTTTTCATGTACAGTGGAAGTGGAATGCTTTTTTGGCTATGTTTAAAGCAAGCTCATCAGAATTTACAAACGTGAATAAGAAAATAAGTGTATTTGCATATTAGGAATATAGGCCTTTAGTACTTTGAGGTGTCAAAAAAACGTGTGAAAAGAACAGTATTCTAAGTTACTTAGAAAGTACGTTTAAAACTCTTCTCCAGTATATGAGTTTTGTTATATTTTAGTTAACTTTGTTAATAAAAACATGTAATGAGGTTGCAGTGTCCTTTGTGAATTATTGCATACCAACTGAACTTGCATAGAAAAAAATAGAGCACTCCTGGTTTCCTATGTAAATAGATAGTACCAATTGTAGTCTTGTACAGTAAATTACTTGTAGTAATTTATTGTTCATAATCCATACCCTGGGCCATCAGCAGCTGTGTATTAGAGCACAATGTTAAGGTTCATAATAACCTGTAAACTGTTGTTGTTAGATGTCCTAAGTAGGTTTGAGTGTGAAGTGATGTATATTTCATGTTGTATATAGGCTTATATTTCATAACCCAGATATTAAAATGTTCATATATTTTAGATTCTAAAACCAAAAGTAATTGTGTGTGTTCTACATTATTTTTTATTGAACAAAATTTATTTAACCCATTATTGCTGGATGCACATACTGTCCACATCAGTTATGTTTTGTGATTTTTTTTTACACTTAGATGGCTCCACAAGTCACCAACACCAAGGAGTCAATTTATAGTGTAGTGACCACAGCTGATTTTTTTCCTTTTTTTGCTATTATTTGTTATTGTTGTTATATTATTATTATTATTATTATCATTGTCATTATATGTTTTTATTTTTTATTATTATTATTATTTAAAATACATATTATTCTAATGTTATATACCAATGCTATCCCAGCATCAGGGGGTTAAGTGAAACATGTTTTTTTT